ACTCCCACTGAGCATGCTGTCCTGGGGGAGACTGCAGTCTCTGTGATCACGCCTCCCAGGGCTCAGGCCCACTCTGACCACAGGCTCCTTCCAAAGGCACGGCCAACCGACAGAAGTGGGCACAATTCCCCCATGTAATTTTTGTCTGGGAGGTGAAATACCTCTGTCATTACATCATTTTCCTCAGCACAGCAGTCCCTTCAAAAGATAAAAGCCTAACTAAGATCACATTCAAACTCAACTATTGAAATAACCTTCCTTTAATATTCTCTCCCACCTTGCACACAATTTCTCATGTTATCCAACGCACTGAGGTGTGTATTATTACCCCTTCTTCCTGGTCCAGCCCAGAGTTTCTGCTTTCCCTCTCCCTCCTCCCAGTGGAAGGTAGCACTGGGCAGCCCTGTTTAATCAGTCTGAGAGATTGCCCCCCACACACACCCTCCCCTGACCCACAGGCCTGACACAAAGAGACTGCCGGAAGCTCCGGACAGCTGCCAAACGGTAGCCACAGTGGCCTGCGGAGGAATTCTGAGCTCACAACAGAGCATTTTTCATCTAGTTTCTTATGGGATTGGGGTTGGGGAGGGGTTGGCGACCAGCCAGAAACGGGTAACAGAATGATGCCTTCATACAAGCCCAGAGCCACTGATTCAGATGGTGGTGGGAATGGGGGCCGGCTTTTGTACAACCGGAATGTGCCTGGTTACCCACTCCAGCTAAAAATAGCCATGGCTCAGAAATGTTACATTTTCTGTGATATTCTAACCTTTTTAAAGAAAGCATATGCACGCACTCATTATAAAATTATGTTCTCTTTAAAACTCAAAAGAAAAGGGCCCTGGTTTCTGCTCTGAGCACCCTTGGGCGCTGGCATGGGGTTGCGTGGGGGAGATGCTGACATCTGCTCTAATTATCCCAGATGCGCATCCTTCACCTCCATTCAGGCCGGCCAGTGTGTGACGGCCACTCAGCACAGCACAGCACAGCACAGCACAGCGCCTCCCTGCCTGCTGGGCACGCAGCATGCACGACCCTGTGGCTGACGGTGACGACTTCCAAATCGCCTGCATCCGTGGTTGGCTGGGAGTGAGTTGGGGCGACAGAGAGACAAGCAACTAACCATAATCAGAGACAGACGAGGTAGGTCCTACGTCAGTGATATAACTTTGGAGTTGACCCTGAAGAACCCGTGAAATTTATATAAGGAAGGGTGGTGCCGGGTGGGGCAGTCTGCAAAGAGGAAACATCTTGAAAGAAAGTTAAGATGTAGAGGAAAAAACTCATGGTCATTTCCAAGTCCACACCTATAGCCCCCGTCACCGATTCCTGTCCTCCAGGATGTCTCACCTTGGCACCCCTCTTTACTTCTCAACCCACCCCCTCCCTTCTGGGGGAATCTCAGCCGGAAACAGCATGTGGGGAAGCTCCGTGTTTTTCATTATTGCTGATATTCACAAGACCGCCTGGAGGTCGGCAGGAGTGGGAAGTAAAGGTCAAGGGGTTAAGGAATGTGTCCCGGTGATGAGGCAGGGAGTCAGGATGCTAACCCAGTTGTCCCCCATCTCTCCACCGGCTGTCAAATACAGTGGATGGTGTCTTGCTGACGTACATAGACCCCTGCGTCAGGACACCCAGGTGCAAATCCCAGCTCTGACATTCACTGTGTGACCTCGAGCAAAGTATCATATTAACCTCTCTGTGCCTTCTTTTCCAGAGCAGCGAAAGGCTCTAATATTCCTTACACCAGGGCTGTTGGGCAGATTGAAACAGATGATGCCTGTAAAATGCTTAGTGCAATGCCTGGGACATAGAACGTGTCATTATTATTACCGCACACTGCCTTTCACTCAGCGCCCGAATGAATTTTAGAGTCTGATAGGAGGCTGTATGGCCAGGCCTTTCCCTTAATCCCATTATCTTCCTCAGAAACGCTACTCCTGTCGCATGTGCAGACGTCACCAGCATTCTGTCGGCCTGCGGGTACCTTCGCGCAACACGTGGTTTGGAATCCTCTGTTAGCACAGCTGTGTCTGGGGTCTGGGAGAGCTTCAAGGACCCCGGCGGGGGGAGGGAGGGGTACACACCAGAGTGGAGGATTGAGCCGGTGAATGGGGGGAGGTCTGTAAGCAGCCTCCACATCCTGCTCCCACTCTCCAGGAAAACATCTGGCAGGCGCCACCCTTCTCTTCCTGGTGCTCCCCCAGGCCAGCCCAGATGAAGAGCGTGTCTGCACCTGGGCTGGGCGGGCTTGCTTAGGAGCTCACCCACAGAGGTTAGGAGAGCTGGGTCCTCAATGATTCCCAGACCCTCCCAGCCTCTCTCCCAGGGGCAGGTCCCCTTCATCCCTTGCGACAGGTTGTGATTGGAGGGAGCTCAGGGTCTCCTGGGCTGTCCACCCGCTGACCGCAGCTCTCCCCCTGCAGCAACCCAGCCCATCTTTCTTTCATGAGTACCACGTGCCTCTCCCCACTCTGCGCAGCTCCACTTGCAGAAGCGCATCTGCCCCGTTCTCTAATTCTTCCGATGGGAAAGCCAGGGGCCAAGGCCCAAGGCTCAGGCCGGCTCCAGGATTCAGAACCAGCTTTTTCCTCTCTGTGGGTTAGAATCACCTGGCACCTTTCAAAAACTCCCGAGTCCCAGCCACACGCTGGACCAATGAAATCCCACTCTCTGGGGTTGTGCAGGCATCCGGGGTTTGTTTGTTTGTTGGAAGTTTCCCAAGCAATTCCAGCGTGTGGACAAGTTTGGAAGCTACTGTCCTCCCACCCCAGCACCAGGGTAAGTGGCCAGGCCCCATGCTAAGTGCTTTAACTAGGCCCTGCCCACCTGTGCCTTCGTAATCTCTTTTTTATTTCCCACTCTCAAGACATTAGGAGGGGCTTCATGCATTAGTGAAAAGCTGCTATGCATTTATCAGCGACTGCTTGCTAAAGTTGAAATTAATTAAAATGCCTAGACAAATATGCAAAAACACAATCAAAATTCTCTAACTACATATTTTCTTAACTGAGTTTGTAAAAAGTAAAAATAAATGTTGAAGCTAATTAAAGATGGACTTGCCAAGAGACATGAAAAAATGTTCAGAGCCACTGCTTATCAGAGAGATGCAAATTAAAATGGCAATGAGATATCACCTCACACCTGTCAGAATGGCTATCATCAACAAATCAACAAATGACAAGTGCTGGCGAGGATGTGGAGAAAAGGGAATCCTAGTGCACTGCTGGTGGGAACGCAGACTGCTGCAGCCGTGGGAGGTTGGCCGGCTGGCCTTGCCCCCAATCCAGCTGGTTGACCAGCCACAGTGCAGGTCATGGCGACTGGTTTTTCCAGTCATTCCGGTCATTCCGGTCATCCGGTTGGTTGGCTTTTATGTATATAGATATGTACAGCCCTTGAACACAGACTATAGTGTGGCGAAGGCCTGGGAGGGGTGGGTGTGGGGTGAAAGGGGTCAATTGGGGGGGGGGGGTATCTGTAATACTTTCAACAATAAAGAGAAACTTTAAAAAACTAAATAAAGTGGAACAACAAATCAATCTTCTGGGCTTGTTTTTTTATGAATAAAATTCTGAGAAACAGAAAAATACATTAAACCCCCTCTAAAAACTTCAACATATAATATATAATGTCCAAGTGTTTCCAGTGGAATTGCAGTTATTTGTAAACTTCTCAATCCCCTGAGCAATTAGATATACTGTTTTATCATGTTCAGTAATCTAGCTGGTTGCAGCCTGCTTCTCCCTGTGAAGAGAACACAAGCAGACAAGACAAATGTTCCCTAGTCACTAGATGCAATGATGCGTGTAGAATTGGGGACAAGTGCTGCTTTTAACAGAACTTGATTTCTTGGACTCTCTGGAGTCAATGGGTCCATCATTTGTAATTGTCTGGGTCGCGGACTCCTTTTGAGTGTCTGCTCAAAACGGCGCTCTTCCTCGGGAACAGGCGCATACATACTCACGTGAAAGCAAGTTTGCACACAATTTCTGGGCACCTGGTCTCCTAAAGTCCTCCAGGTCCCCAGTTGAGCCCAAAAAATGAGGAAATGAAAGTCCCAAACAAGCTGCCAGTTAGGATTCAAACTCAGATCTCCGACCTTACAGCCATTCCAGGAGCGACAAGCCTAGGGCGCTTTGCCTGGGTTCAAGCCTGATTCTGCGGCCGGCCTTTTGCTGTGCAGTGTGTAAGTTACATCACCCCTCAGTGCTTTGGTTTCTTTTCTCTTTTTGATTGTTTTTTTTTTTTTTTTTTTTTTGAGAGAGAGAGAGAGAGAGGAGAAAGGGTTTGAATTGTTGTTCCCCTTAGTTATGCATTCACTGGTTGCTTCCTGTATGTGCCCTGACCAGGGATCAAGCCCACAACCTTGGTGTATGGGGACGACACCCTAACCAACTGGCGACCCGGCTAGGGCCATGCTTCGGTTTCTAAATCTGAAGACGGGGGCGATGAAGATAGAACCTTCCTCACCTGCTGGCGCCTTGTTCCAGGGGTGTTCGCCATAACTATTTACAAGTAAGGAGCCGCTCAGAGAGGCAGGCTGCTGTCCTAAGTCACCAAGCTGCATCTTGGTGCTCACCACCTGCATCCCCAATTCCTCCCGGACCCTGTTTTCAAAGTCTTCACAAACCAGGACCAGAGGCGGATGCAGGAAGTCCAGGGCTGCTCTCAGGGAGCAGCCTTCAAGTTCAACACAGCAAGCCATCTCTCCTGCAGAGGGAGGACCAGCAACAGGAGCAGGAGAGCAGGGAGGTCCGAGTTAGTGGAAGGAGATGGACAGGCCTGGATGCAGTGAAGCTGGCCTGGGACAGGGGCGGGGCTGCTGCCCAGGGAGGCCTGGCCTCTGTCTCCCACCCCCAGGGTTGTAGACACGGCCAGTGTCAACAGCAGGGGTGAGAGTGCAGGTGGGGGAGGCAGCAGGGACAGGCTGGGCTGGCCGGCTGCAGAGGGGTGGCCCGGGAGTGTCCAGCCACGGGAACCTTGGGGCAGCCCCGGCTGAGAATTCTGCAAACTCCTCCCCCCAGAGCTGTGGGCCGGGCTGTAGGAACACTTTCAGTTTTGTTTCTGCAAAAAACGAAACTCAGCAGGAAGACTCCGGAGACTAGACCATGGAGGGAGCCTTCCAGGTGTGTGGGAACTGGTAAGGAGCTGCCAGCAGCCACCCGAGCCCGCCCAGGCCAGGGAGCTGGTGGGCAGAATGAGTCTGTTTCTGGAATGAGGAGAAAAGGGTCCAGGCATAAACTCCCGGGGAGGGAGGGCTGGTGCTGTGGCCCCCGGGGAGGGAAGGCTTACCCCCAGCAGATCTCTGAGGTCATGGGGTGAGGAAGTGGTCAGCATTACCTTACATCACTGGGCCGCACTCGTCCCCCACCCCTCGAGACAGTCCCGACTTTCTGGGACGGTCCTGGAGCCGAATAGCCAGGCTAATTGTCCCTGATGGGCTACTCCTGATTTGGGGTTCTGATCATATGGTCTGCACACCAGTCTGAGAACAAGCCCCCCTCACCTTGAGAGGGAGGCTGAGCAGAGTGCAGGCCCGCACCTCTAACTCACCAAGGACCTCACTCTCGAAGCGGCCCACCTGTGGCAAAAACTAGCAGGGAACCTTCCCAGAGAGCTTTGCTCCAGCCAGACCCTCCTGGCACTTAAGTGTCTGAACCTGCTTGGGAGGAAGAGCTGAGGGGACAGAGCAGAGAAATCAGAGGGGGAGGGACCAGGCCAGGCAGAGGGGGAGAGGGACCAGGCCAGGCAGAAAGGGGAGGGACCAGGCCAGGCAGAAAAGGGAGGGACCAGGCCAGGGAGAGGGGGAGAGGGACCAGGCCAGGCAGAGGGGGAGAGGGACCAGGCCAGGCAGAGGGGGAGGGACCAGGCCAGGGAGAGGGGGAGAGGGACCAGGCCAGGCAGAGGGGGGGAGGGACCAGGCCAGGCAGAGGGGGAGGGACCAGGCCAGGCAGAAGGGGGAGGGACCAGGCCAGGCAGAGGGGGAGAGGGACCACACCATGCAGAGCGGGGAGAACAGAGGAAGGGTGGTGAGGCAGCCGTGGTGCCATCTCTCTGGGCGGTGCAGAGCCCAGAGCTTGTGCATACCAAGGGAGGGAGTCCCTGCCACAGGCAGGGACTTGGGCGTACTGCTCTGGTCAGCATTTGGGCCTTTGGGGACACGGACACTGAGTCTCCCTCCTCCCAAGCTCCACAAGCAAGGGCTGGTTGACGTGAAAGGAGGCATTTCCTGGTCAACAGGAGGGTTGGGAAACACCCTGACCGGGAACTGGGAGGCTCAGAAGCTTACACTCTCTGGGGTCTCCGAGGCAGGACTGGGTCCCTGTGAGGCTTTGCGCAGGTGAGCCTGCAGGCAGGGGACAGGTGGACGGCCTCGGCTCTCCCAGTCGTGGCGAGTCTGAAAGCTGGCATTGCCCTTGCAGCAAGCATGGGGGTGCCAGGGCTGGACTCCCAACTGCTGTGGGCCAGGCAGGGGAACTCTTGAAAACAAGACCAAATCTTTGAAAGAATGTGATATTTGTTGCTTCATTTTTTCAAACAGCTTTCCAGAGGTACAATTGACATACACCGTGTTTATGATACATGTTTAAAGTGCACCGTTGCATGCGTTTGACACATGTGTATACCCATGAAACCATCACCACAGCGAACCTATGAACCTACCCAAGCCTTCCCTGGGCCCCTTTGCAATCTCTCCCACCTGCTCCTTCCCACCCACCCTCACTGGCCCCGGCGATAGAAGAGCTCTCTTACACTTTATGATTTTGCGATGTTCTGATTTGGGACCAACGTGGGGCCACAGGGACGGTGACATCATCTTCATATGTTCAGTGCTTGAGGCCTGGACATTCCTTAACCCAGCGGCCCTGGGTGGGAAACAGGGCTCCCTGCGTTATACCTGCAATCAGCCTGAACTCCTTCCCCCTTCCTCCGGCAGCAAAAGAAGGGTGGCCTCTGCCCACCTGGCCCTCCATGAGGCGCACTGCCTGCTGTTCCTGGCCCAGTGCCCCGAGTGCAAGGAGCCCGTCCTCCAGGCGAAGATGGACGAGCACTGCGAGAACGGGCACCAGCAGGTGAGGGGCCCCAGGAGGGACGCAGGAGGGTGCTGCGCGGCGAGGCTGACTCGGACCCTTGCTGTGGCCGCGGGCCTGGCTGCCGTGGGCAAGTCGCCGAGCCCTGCATGCCTCAGGCCCTGGCAGCGGACACAGTATTCCTAGGAAACTGCATCTACCCTGCTGTTCCCGTGACCAGCCCTTTCCCTACAGGCTTATGGGTTTAGCCCAGGGCAGGGGTCTCTGTTTCAGGAAGGACTGCGTGTTCTTTTGAGATTTGTGAAGAGGAGAAGCCGGAGAGGAAAGCTCTAGAAGGCAGTCATGGCCAAGGCTGGCTTTTCTTTTCTGCTCTTTCATGTCGCTCCTTCCTGGGACCCTCCTCTGTCTGTCTGAGATCCTCAGGCTCAGGCATCCCTTTCAACTCAAAGCATCCCCCCAAACACTTCTTGAACACGGGGCTGTGCCCCCGGGGATGAAGGCAAACACACCTGATCCGGTGCCTGGGGGCTCACAGAGCCCAGCAGGTGCTGGGACCAGCGTCTCTCTCTGTGCAGGTCGGATGCGCCATGTGCCAGCAGAGCATGCAGAAGAGTGTGCTGGCGTTTCACGAGGTGAGAATCAAGTGCAGTTCATCCTTCACAGGAGCAGCCACCCTGGGAGGAGGGGGAGGGGGGGCAGTGATAGGCTTCCCCCTGACCTCTCCCCTCCCCCAAGGAGGCTTGGGAAGCAGTGGAGAATGTGTTCAGCAGAGGGACACGCAGCCTCCGGTCCCCCAGATGCTGGTCAGAGGGCTTGCTGTGGTCCGTGACCCAGGACAGCTCAAAATTCCCAAAGGGGGTCCCACTCTGGCCCATCCCGTCGGCTTTCTTACTTGCTCAGGCCCCTTGGGAAGTCAGCCCATGTCCCCACCTGGGCCCAGCCACTCCTGGAGAGTGACCTGGCCATCCTGCCTGCCTCCCCGCAGACCAGGGAATGCCAGGAGCGCCCCGTCGTGTGTGAGTTCTGCAGGGCAGCCGTGCGCCTCAGCAAGCTGGAGATCCATGAGCACCACTGCGGCAACCGCATCGAGCTGTGCCTGGACTGCGGCCAGCCCATCATGCTCCGCACGCTGGCCCAGCACAGGGATGCCTGCCAGAGCGAGCAGGCCCAGCACCGGACAGGTGAGCGGGGCGGGAGCCTCCTGGATGGGGTGCGAGGAATGTGGGCATTCAACAGGACAGGTGCCGTGTGTGGATGAAGGCTGTGCAGGTCTCAAATCCATCTGGCTATTCTAGTTCTAGACCATGTACCAGAGTGGTGGCCTCCTCGTGTGTCTGCTGAGCTCTTCAAATGACCCACCCAGGAAGACCTAGAGGCAGGCGGAGGGGGGCTGGGGACCACCCAGAAGGATGCAGGGGCAATGGGTCCCTGCAAAATGGGAGCCTTCCTTGGAAGTCCCCTGGCATGATCCTAGCCTGGCAGAGATCGCCTGCCTCCTCTTAGAGATGGCAAACCCATGCCCAGAATGAATCAGGCGCTTGTTAGAGGCAGAGGTGAAGCTGGACACCCACGTTTCCCGGCATCAAGACTGGAGTTTTTCCCACCAGCAGCAGTGGGCAGAAGGAAGTTAGCTGGAGCCCCTGACCTTTGGGCTATCTGGTGACTCCCTGGTACCATTTCATGTTCTCTGCACCCAGTTACCCCTTTGTGAGGTGTGTTAGCAGAGGACACAGCTATCAGTGTGACGTATCTACTGTTGACTTCACTGGTTGTCTTGGTAACATGTGGTGTGAGCCTGAAATCCCTGTACAGTGCATCTCTCCTGGCAAACAAGCTACTCAAGGTGAAAATGGCGAAGGAAAACCTGGGATGCTTGCACAAATTCATGGGCATTTCCTTCATTCCAGCGTGGCTGGACTTTAACACCACCACACAACTTCATCAACACAGCCCAGCTTCAGCCAGACCACACAACACGATCAACAGAGACATGTACAATACCAGTCTGAGCCCAGAGCCCAGAAACTGCTGAAATGAAGGAGCAGTCAGGCTGGACAGGGCTGGCATCTGTGCTAATGGCTCCCTCATCTCTTTAGAAACCAGGGGAATGTCTCTTCATCAGGGTCATGTGCCATGCTGAGCGCACCTCTGTGGCCATAAAGGAGGTGATGTGGGTGACTCGGCCAAGGGCTGCCTGTGTGGCTGAGGATGCTGGCAGGGTAGGGCGGGCAGGCAGGCCCGGACGGTTCCTACTTGGGACGGTTCATACTTGTGACGACAGGCCATGTACGCACTTGCGGGACAGCTGGGCGAGCCGTTGTCAAGGGCAATCATTTGTGGTGCTGTTTCTGTGTTTACTAGGGAAGAAGATTTCAGCTCCCGAAAGCAATATCTTCTGTCATTATTGCAACCAAATGATCCCAGGAAATAAGTATTTACACCATATGGTGAGTAGCAATTAGTCATTTTCTAATGGTGCCAGTAGCTTGTCTGTATTCCAAAAGGGTAGTATTCTGGGTCCAATTTCACAGAGGATATGAGAGGGCCTCATTCATTTTTGCTTTGCTCAAAAGGGATATTGTGGATGGCTTTGGGCTAATTTATCATACATAACCGATCTCCATTTGTGCCAGCTCTCAAGGAGCCTCCCTGACCAGTCCAGCTGCCTGATCACCACTGAGCATCTTCAGCCTCAGGGCCTGGGCATGGCCTCATGAGGACCTGCTTTATAATTGTCTGTCCCTGTGAGAGTCTTGTCTATTGGACTGGGAGCTCCTTCACAAAAGTGAACCACTTTCTCCATCTTCTCACAATGAAGCTGATCTGAGGGCTGGTACCAAAGGGGGACTCTGTAGAGGTGTGGTGATATGATTGATTGATTGATTGATTGGTTGGTTGACTTTGCCTGGGAACACTCACAGACGCGTCCTTCCATAGCTCTAAGCACTGCGGGTACCTTGGTTGTGCCAAGTTATTCCCCTTTTCTGCAGGATGGAACATTCTCTCTCTGGGGAAACTTGCCAGTGTTTCTCTCCAAGAAACTCGTCACCTTTTCCTTGAGCAGAGAAATGTTTATCCTCTCTCAACCCTCCAATTCAGAGAACTGTGAATATCAGAATTGAAAAAATCCTAGGATGATCTAGATCTTTTTGTTTATTGTGGTAAAATACACATGACATGAAACGTATCATTAGTGACACTTAGTACATCCCCAATGTTGTGAAACCATCACCTCTATCTAGTTCTGGAGCATTTTCACCGCCCCCCAAAGAAACCCTCTACCCGTGAAGCAGTCGCTCCCTACTCCTTCCTGTCGATAGTCCCTTTGGGTCCCCAATATTCCTTAACTCTCCCATGTTCTCCCCACTCTTCCTGTGGAACATAACAGATGTACATTAAGCCTTCTCATTCTAGCTGCTTGTCTCCTAACTTTTCACATTTTCTATTTACCACTCCTATATTCTGGAGAATTTCTTCAAATCTATCTAATCTACTTTTTTTTTTTTTCCTATCCATTGAGTTCAATGTCTGTATTTTTCATTTCTAGTTCTATTTATCTCTCATTTAAATTTGCCTCCTCTTTTTTTCATAGGATCTTATTATTTTCTCTTGTCCTATTTATTTTTAATTCCCTTATTTTACAGTCTGTATCCCATAGTTTTATTATCTGAACTTCTTGGAGACTTAATCCTGGTTTTGCTTGGGGTCTGACTCTTACTTAAGTAGATTGCTTCGTTGGGTGTCTGCAAACCTTACTTGTTTCTGTTTAGTGACTCTACCTGTGAGAATCCTGTACGATGTAGTTTGAAGCTATATACCCTCCAGAGAACTTTTGTTATTGCTCTTGCCAGACATTCCCACTTGTAGGTTAATTCTTCTGCACAGGTGTTCCCATACCATGAGACTAATGTAAACCTGAGCCCCAAACACAAAGATGGCACGGACCCGTGGATCTGAATTCCCAGGAGCGTCAGTTTTCCTTCCCCACACTCCAGCTCCAGCTCAAGGTGGACAACCCTCCTTGCCACTTTTCTTATCCAATTAACTGATGGATTTATTTATTGATTTATTGATTTTGCCGCCATAGTTTAGCCTTCAAGGTTCCGGACTTTCTTCTGGGAAAGGGGAGTCTTACTTTCCGTTCCCCACCTTCTGTGGATGGGACTTTGCTCTCATCCAAGACTGACCCCGCATCTCCCGATGTGTCAGCTCAAGTGCTTCATAGGTTAGGTTTTCGTCCTGGGCCCGGAGCTTTCTCTCTTTCTTACAAAGTCAGCTATCAACTTAAATGAGTGTTTCCTGCATTTCATCCAGCCTTTCTAAGTGTTCCTGGTGGAAAGTTTCCAGGTGATCTAGTCTATTGTGCTGTCCAGCCAGTAAAGCCGAAGTCGTTTTAAAATTTGACATATTACTCACAATTGCAGAATAAATGTCGTACCACCTCGGAGCCTGCAAAATATGTTCCAACTGAGGAGACAAGACATTCTCCTCCATCCCTCCCAAGTCAGGCTGCTGAAGATCAAACTCCCACCGCAGTGAAAGATGTTCGCCCAAAGACGAAAAATACAAGCAGGTTTCCTCTTCTTTCTGAAAATTCAACAAAGCAAGCACCGCGCGGCACAGACAAAACCCTGGACCCGCCTCTGAAGCCGGTCGTGGACGACCCGGCCTATAACATTCTGCGGAGGTGCCCTCAGTGCGATATCCTCCTTCCCCTGCCGACCCTAAACCAGCATCAGGTACCAGCCTCTGCTCTCTCCTCACCTGGCGTTACACCGTCTGGACTTTAGGGTTTAGAGAAGCCCGGGACCTGCAGGGTGTGTGCAGACCCTGCCACTGGGAAGGCCCTTCGCTGTCTCCTCTACTATGTTGAATAGAAGTGGTAAAAGTGTACGTTCCTGATCTTAAGGGAAACACTTTTAGCTTTTCCTGGTTGAGTATGTTAGCTATGTATTTGTTATATATGGCCTTTATTATGTTGAGGTGGTGCCGTATTCTCTTAGTTCCCACAATTTTTTGTTTCATTCCATACATTCCTTCATCCTTATATAATAGGGTTGCCAAATTTAGCAAATAAAAATATATTGCTTAAGACAAAAATAATTACAGAGTAACAGCATGGGTCATAACCACATACAAACATACACATTTGGAGTCCGATTATATATAGTTCCTTGCAACTTAATGTTATGATTTAGCAATACCCAAGGACATTCCTCCCTCCGAGTCCATATGTGACTCTTTTTTTTTTTTTAATGGCTGCATAAGAGTCCCTGGTGTGGGTGTTCTTCAATCTGTCCATCCACCCCACTGATGATGACAGGCCTTTAGTGAGCATTGCCCCAAACCCCCCCCCATCCCCCACCCAGACCCTTCCTAGTTCACTGGGCCCCATGCCTTTTCTCTGCCATCCGTAGCTCAGGGTTTGTGCTCCAGGAACTAGGGAGCGCCATAACCAGAGATACCCCAGGAAATAGCACTTCCCACTTTAAACATGTCAAACTTTTTTTATATCCATTTCTTTAGGAGAAATGCTGGTGGTTAGCTTCATGGAGAGGAAAACAAGGGAGAAACTCCAGCTAGATTTGGAAAAGAAAAGGTACTGCAGATTTAGAAGATGTATGGTCTCCCTGCTGACTTTCTGTGGTAGCCTCTCCTTGGGAAAGGAGGTGGGTTTTATTCCTGGGGGTTTTTCCTATGGAAGAAAGGGTTTGGATTTTAACTATTTCCCTCCTTTTGGACAGAGATGTTGGTTTGCCCAAGAGGTACAGATAAACCAGCAGAGAAAAAAGCGCCAGCTCTTCTGCCTGAGAATTTGGATCAAGCATCTGGGCCCGATGGCTCGGACATGTCGGGGGACCCCAGCTTTGTCCATTTTAAATTCCCACCAGCAATTGGTGTGACCGTCATCATTTCCCCACATTCCATGGCCAGCGTTTGGTATTACCATCATCATTTTTTTCTAATTTTAACTATTCTAATAAGTATGTGGTCTTCTCTTACTGTGATTTCCAGTTGCATTTACCATAATGATGCTGATTGTCTTTTCGTTTGCTAATTTGCCATCTGAAATGTCTATTCTCGTCTTTTGCCCATTTTCAGAATGGACTGTTTCCTTTCCTGTACATATTCCCTGGAGAATAAAAACACCCTCAGAGGGAAGGCAGGGGAGGGGAGGGCGGTGAGAGATCAATCAAAAGACTTGCATGCTCGCATAGACGCATAACCAATGGGCACAGACAGGAGGGAGGGGAGGGCCTGTGCTGGAGGCGGGAGAGGCTGGGAGCGGTCAATCGGGGGAAAAGGAGACATGTGTAATACTTTCAACAATAAATAATTTTAAAAAAATAAAAGAATAAAAACACCCTCCCTGAAAGCTTCTGTTCACCTTTCTTTGGATTCTTCACTGGTTTCCCAAGAGAGGGCAGCCATGGGCAGCAGGGCCAGACAGCGCACAGGAGAGAAGCGGGCAGGAAAGGAAGGGAGGGAGGGAGAGAGAAGTGAGCCTGGGCTGTAGGCTAAGCTGCCTGAGCACACTGGGGTGGGTGTTTCCAATCCGTCCATCCACAGCCTTGATGAAGACAGGCCTCTAGTAAGCATTGCCCAAGCCCCCCACAGGCCCCCGGGATCACTGGTGACGCCCAAAGGGGTGCCGCCGGTTCAAGGCTGTTGGTCGAGGTGGCTGGGAAAAGCCTAGTGATGCAACTGGCCAACAGTATAGCCTACCTTTCTGCCTGGCCTTTGGGGTGACCCGCTAGGGACCAGCCCCTGCCTGGAAGGGAAGGGCCAGGGAAAGTGGGTGTGTTAGGAGCTCCCTATCCTCCCCCTCTTCCCTCCCCCCTTCCCCCCCCCTCCCCCACACCGGGAAGGTGGGGCACTTCTCGAGCTTTGGGTGGGTTAGGGTTGCTCCAGGCTTTCCTTTGGGAGTCCCATCCAAGGTGGGGAAAGTGGAAACCATGGCAGATCACGTGGGGATGGATTCTGAGAAGAGGGGCCTAAGCTGGGTCTCTCGGGACCTGACAGGACGCTGGGGCTGGGTCAGGACAGGAAAGGCGGTCGACTGAGCCCCAAGTTCGGGGCAGAACCTATTCCAGGCCCAAAGGCGGAAGGGCAGGGGGCAGGGCCCGAGCCTCCTGCCTCCCAGCACCCCTCCCCCAGGTGCCTTCCGGACCGTGGGCGCAAGGACCGATCTTGGCCGCGCTCTGTGGACCGGGCCACCCTGGGTTTGGGCCCCTGCATCCAGCAGGGATGCGCCGAGCCCCGTAGCGGGGCGCGTCACAAAGGCGCCCACAGCCGGGCATGCAGCCCCCGCGAGGTCAGGGCGCGGCCCGGCGGTGGCGGAGTTGGCTTTGGAGGAGCAGCAGGCGTTCGCGGTCCCTGCAGCCCCGCGCGGGGGCGCAGCTGAGCAGGGCGGCGAGCCGGTCACAGGTGCGTGCTGGCGCGGTGCGCGGAGGGCGCAGGCGGGGTGAGCCGGGCACGCCAGGCCCACGGGAGGGATGGGCTGCCGGCCGCACGGCCTCCTGGAAGCTTTCGCAGGGTGATGGGCGATCTGACTTGCTGAGGTTTCCTTCCCTGGTGGGCAGCTCTGAGATAAGATGGCCCGAACCTAGGTTAGAGAGCCCTGAGGGTGGGTTCAAACCCCGCCCCCCACTTACTACTCCATCTCACCAGGAGACTCTCATCTCCTAACCTTCTGACGCCTGTCTCCCCATTGGTAAGGTGGGCTTGTTCACACCTTCCATCCAGGGATGTCGTACAAGCACCGTGGCCCCAACTTCCTGAGGGCAGCAGGCACTTGTGCCTGAATTTACTTTGTGCCAGACACTGTTCTGGTGCTTTCCATCTGTCAGCTCATTTAACCCTCCCACAGGGTGGTGGGCATGCCCCCTGCCCTCCCGCCACTGAGCAAGGAATAAGGACTAGGTGAAATAAGTCATAGGTTATGACTGCTGTTTACATATGTGGAGGCGGAGGCACGAAGAAATTAATGAGCCTGGGGTCACACATAGAAATTGGCAGAACCAGGACCCAACCCAGGAAGCTACATGGCTTCTTGCTGGTGAGGAGGTCTCGTGGGACGGGACGGGGGGCCAGGAATTACACACAACTTTGGGACCACTTGCAACAACTTTCCCAGCCACCACCTGTGTTCTTCCAAAGCCACCTGTGGATGAAAGCATCTGACAGCTCTTCTGACAAGGGACTTTGCTAAGGCAAAGGGTTTCATTTAGCCTTCGAGGTGGATGAGCGTTCCTTGAGCACTTTTCTCCGAGCTAAGTGCTGTGGAGGCCCCTCGCCTTGGGCAGTCTGTGTGTGGCAGAGGGATGGCCCCATTCTTTCATTTGTTAAACGTTGAAGTACCTGCTCAAAAGAAGGATGAGGCTGCCCCTGGTCTCAAGGACTGTGTGGGGCCGTGGGAGGGAAAGGCTTGGACGCGGATCACAGGAAGGGATGGACAGTGGCGAGAGGGGAAAGAGCAGGCAGGGGAACCCACTGGAACCCTGTGTCCTGGGTGGGGGCAGACTTTGCCAGCCTCCCACCCCCGTGGAAGTCTCTCTGGATCTGAGGTGGGAGGGCCAGCTGGAGTCAGGGCCCCACTTGTTCCGTAGGCGATGATGGGGTGATGAGGACAAAGTGGGGGAGAAGATCCCAAATAAAGTCCTCCACAGGAGCTCACTGAAAGACGCTCATTGCCACCGTGGTGTTGGTGGGAGCTGAGGAGGCCGGCGCTCATCTAGGCAGAGTGGATAGGAGACAGACAGGGGCACCCACCACGGACAGCTTCTGTTCAGATGATGGATATAGTGGGTGTGACATAGCAGACATGAATGATGTCTACAAATATTAAATACTAGAGACCTGATGCACAAAATCCATGCAAGAGTAGACCTTCCTTCCCCTGGCTGCCAGCACTGGCTTCCCTCTGGCACCCGGGACCCGGGCTTCATCTGGAAGGTCGTATGGAAGGATGTCTGGAAGGATGTCCAGTCTAATTAGCATATTATGCTTTTATTATTATAGATACTTTTTTTGGCAAGCACACACATAATACACTGGAAAAGTTACCTACAGTGGGGGGCGATGCAGTGGGACATAGTTGAAAAGGAACGAATGAATAAATAAAACCTAAGAGAGGTCTTGGGCAGGCAAATGTCCTGAATTGAGAAACATGATTAACTTGTCCTTCAGGCCTACCACCTGTGGAGGCAGGAAACATCTACAGGAGAAAGGGAAAGCCCAGCCTCCGGTCTGGGCCCTGTCTCTACCTTGCTGTTGGCCTCATGAAAGCCCCTCCCCCCCCTGGGTCTCGCTTTCCATCTCTTTCAGCTCCGAGTGTTTATGAGCTATTGTCAATCATCTTGAGCCACTTGGGAGAGAAACCGATAGTTTTATGGAGTGGTAGGGCTTGAAGTTTCAAGAATGGGGGACTCGGGAGGGTTCAAGAAAACGAGGGCGTTTTCCGGCAGGAGAAGCATTGAAAGCAAAACTTCAGGAAGATTTCAGCATACGGCTGTAAACAGTCGGAGGGCTCGGTGTTCCGGGAGGGCCTTAGCCCAGCTCTCCCCTGCGCCTCCCGAGCCTGGCTGGCGGTGCCACCTGCAATCCAACAGCCAAGTCAGGACTTCCGGCCCTACCCACTTCTGTGTTCCCCGGTTACCAAACCGGGTCCTCCAAAGGACCCACCCCATTCCCATCATCATGCCACCCTAGTCCCAGGTTTGGGCCTGGACTCTGCTCTAGACCATCCTTCATCCACTCCCAAGTGTCCTTCCTATACCTCAACGCTGACCACATCACTTCCGGACATGTGACCCTCTGACCTCCCCGGGCCCCCTGTGACCTCATGGAGGTTCTCCATCCTTGTTCTGCTGCTGCACCTTTTGAATATAACACAGTCATCAACCATATGGCTCAACACAGTGATTCTCATCCAGAGAAGGGGCCCGGCCACATCAGGATTCCAAAGTACCGGGAGAGGGGACAGTGGGGACCCTGGCCTCTGGGACACAGCCTTTATCACATCACCCAGAACCCCTCCGCCCAGCACCTCCGTCTACTCCAGCTCCAGTTCCATCACTCCCTTCCCCTTTCAAGTTAAGAACCATACAGTTTGTAGTTCCCTGAGTGTGAACACATGTCCATTCAGTTTGGTGGCTGTGCACACATAGTTCCCTCTACACGGAAACCTTCAGCTCTTCCACCACTACCACTAGGCCAACCTGGTCAGCCTTGCAAATCCCACTCACCCTGCAGAACCCAGCTCAGACATCATTCCTCAGACATCAAGCCTGCTCTCCTTCCTCCTTACCCAGCCAGACAGTTAGTCACCCTCTGTTTGCGCTACCCTGCTCTGTGAATACATCTGAACCTTCTCACTTCTCCCATGCTGCTGTAATTGCGTGCTTGCCTGTGTCCCTGATAGACCCCTAATGGGCTGTGGCTCCTGTGGTGTGGACTGTATGGTGACTTTATCTTTGCACCACCTGCACCAGCACAGTGCCTACTCCACAGGGGGCCATGGTGCAAGTTCATTCAATTGGGTTTAATTTCTATTTGGCAGGTAACAGGTAATGGCTCGTCCCTTTTACTCCCCACAGAAAACGAGTGATTACTTTCCTTTGCTCATTTTTGGAAGCCTTGCCTACTACACAGCTGCACTGGACATCCCAGTTCCTTGATGGACGAAGAAAGCCAACAGATCCAGCCCGAAGACCAGAGCTGCTGGGCCACCCTGCCCGATGTGTGCCTGCGTCGTGTTTTCTGGTGGCTGGGAGACAGGGACAGGTCCAGGGCGGCCCTTGTCTGCAAGAAATGGAACCAGATGATGTATTCGGCTGACCTCTGGCGACACAGGACCATCACGTTCAGTGGGAGACCTTCCAGGGTACACGCCTCTGAATTCGAGTCAGCTCTCTGGT